ACAGTGTTGAACTGAGGAAGATGTGTGAGCAGACTTCTTCTGTGAACAGTGGCTTCCTGAGAAAGCTTTTGGCCTCTTGGTGCCCCTCAGGGTACCAGGAGTTTCACAGGAGAGTCTCAAATCACCTTAAACTGTCGAATCGCTTCACTGTACTAATTCCTGGATTACTTCACTACCTTTCATTCTTCTGGCTGGAACAGTGGTGCATGTATACTGCCAAGAAACCTTCTCTAGTTGGAGGTGAGAGTATGTAAAGGACCTCTGGGCAATGGGAAAGATAATAAATAGTGAATATGCCTCTTCTACCCCTTACAGTAATGCTGGCTGACAGATGAGGTAGCAAATCCTGTATGAGTTGCATCTGATGGTTTTTTGCTGCAGAGAAGGCATTTTCCCTGTCTTGCCTGCCTGCTTGCCTTTCTGCAGCAAAGACTCTCACAGGAACAAGGGCAAAACATAATTGCTTACAGAAACAGAAAAGCCCCTCCCAGAAGCAGATCAGCTCTTGATCCTCTGTAGGTGATACTACTCTGCTGTCCTAAGTCAGGCTCGTACAGATACATATAAAATCTTTAAGATGATGATAAGGAGCTTTTGTTCCCTACAATCACAGGGACGTTCTGATACCATCTCTTACAGGATGGTACTTGGCTCTGATTTGGCTGCCTTCTCATTGGCATGACTAGGATGTCTGGTGTCTCATCAGGGAGAATTGTCTGAAGAGCAAAAGTGCTTGATGCCTTTGTTAGAGTATCTGCCTTATGAAAAACATTGTTTTAAGAGCAGCCTGCAGACATACCACTGCGGGACTGGGAACCCTGTTGTGCTAGGCAATGCACTTCGAAATATCAGAAAGGTGAATCCTAAATCCATGAGGATAACAGAGACACAGGAGCACGGGTAGCAATAAGACCATTACATGTAGCACAGTAAATAGAGCCTGGGCATAGCAGTCATTTTACTGGTCTTGATTGTGTGGTGGGAGCAGAGGAGAAACAACGTGCAAGTTCAGTTGTTGTTTTCAGAAATCTCCTGTGGTGTGACAGGGAAAATGGGATAAAACATAAAGGGTGATTTTGAATCACAGAGACTAAGAAGTACATCACTAGCAGCTTCAAGGCAGAAGCTGGGTTCCCAGTGTCATGGGAAAGCTGGTGGGTGGATTGAAAAGGGTCTTCTGGTTAAAGGTATTTATTGGTGTTTGTGAGCACTGAGACTTTACAGCCAGAGAAGGTAAAAAGGTGGTGGAAAAGGATGCGTGTGGTGGTATGTCTGTAGCTGTACTGTCAGAGAAGCAGCCCAGTCTTCTCTGGGCTGTCAAGAGGCCTGTACACAGGGGGAAAGGGTATGTCTGATCTACAGGATAAGTCCAGCCAGCAGGGCGCAGGGAGGCTTCAACAGGGTGTAACTGTTGGATGGGTGTTCATTACAGGATGCTAGGAAAATTAGTTGACTAATTTACATAGAAGGTAGCTAAAGTGAAAAGATACTTTATGTACTGTGTGAGAGATCCTCACCTCTGAGGAACACCAGACATGATGATCACCTTTCGTAGTGGCAGTCGATCTGTGTGTCGCAGTAGTGCTTTGGAAACCGATGAAGCGTGGCACCTGGCTTTGCTGGGCAGTGCACTAACAGGTCCTGCCCAAATTGCTTATGACATAAAAAGGTACAGATGGGTGCGGATGGGCTAAAGGGCAGGGCCTACAAGCAAAGGAGGGAGTATGATGGCAGATGCATTAGCGGATCATCACATCAGTTCAACTGTATGCGTTTACTTATGAAGCTCCTAATGAAGTTTGTCCTAAGATACTCAGAGAAGATGGGTTAGCAGTCCTTGAGCTGCTAGTTGTTATCCTGGCATACTGCAGAGGATAAGGGAAAGCTCCAGAAGGTGCCACATCTTGAAAAGAGGGGTGAGATGAAGAGAGAGAGGGAGAAGGGGTGTTAATATGAAATACTTAAAGGAACAATTGAGATATTTCTAAATGTCTACAAGATAACAAAGGTATAAGTTCCAACCAACATGACTTGGTCAAGAGTGGTCAAATCAGATGATAACTGGGATCATAGGGCATTCCTATAAATATCATGACATTCCTATAAATACAGTCTTGGGGAAGCTATTCACTGGGTTGATGCAAAGCTACTCAGAGTGTCAACTAATGATTCACTGTCATATCAGATGATGGCCATCTTAGGTCTGACATTGTTCAGTATATTTAAGGACATGGGTGACAGAACTAAATGTGTGCTTATTACGTTTGCAAGTATTACCTAGCTGGAAAGCCTGTGGGCACACTGGAGGACAAGAATAGAAATCAGGGTTATCTTAAGAAAGTAGAAACATAGTTTGAAAATAATATTTTCACTACAGACAAGTAGAAAGTTCTTTTACGTGTGCAAAAATAATGTGATGCCTAGATACAAAGGGGAATGGAAGAGGGGAAGTAACACAATCTGGAGCTCACGAACTAAATACAAAACAGGAATAACATAATTGTGTGAGAAACTCAGAATACTGACTGATGTGTACACGAGACCATCTCAGGTTGTGGGGTAGTCCTTCCACTTCACATGATGCTAGCATCATTTCATCTCACGTGCTATGTGCCAGTTCTGAGCAGTGTATTTTGAAGAAGATTTGGACCAAATTATGACAATTTCTACAAAAGTAAGAGTGATCTAGAGAGTATGACCAATCAGAAAAGTTAAAAAAAAAAAGCAGGGAAAACATCTTCACACACATAAAAGGCTGCTGCAAGGAGCTATGAACAATCTGCTTGTGTCCTTGGTGTATAGGAGAAGTTAAGGGTTCAACTTAGAGCAAGGAAGATTTAACTTACCCAATAGGGAAAAAATCGAGTAGAAAAAGAACACCCTAGCCATAGGATAGGTTGTCTAGGGAGACTCTGAGATCTGTCCCATTTTTGGAGCATTTTAAGAACAGGTTAGATATATATTTCTCAGGAAACAGTTTATGTGAAATTAATCTTGTAACTGATCTTGCCTTGCAGCTGAAGGATAGACTAGATGACATCTTGAGATCTCTCCCAGCCTTATTCTCTGTCATCCTGAAAAATTAGACAAAATGAAGTGAGGGCAGACAGTGAAGAGAAGGGAAGAAGATTATGGGAGAAACAGCTGTTGGCATGGAAAGGTAGGGCATAGGTAGGATGCAGAGTATTGGATTATCTTGCCATGCAGGAGACAGGGAGGCTCGTTCAGCATCCAAGGGCCCTGCTTTATCTGTGCTGCATTTGCACAGCTGGACTTTCTGACTTGTTTCTGTCAGAGGTTTCCCTGCAGGATCCCATGAGGTGAATGTGAGGGGAAGTGCAGACATCAGATGGCAAAACATCTTGCTTTGGCCTTAAAGCAAAACTTGTGCTTTCTCTTTTTGTGGTTTTTAGCTGACATAGGCTTTACAATATTTTCTTGCTCAAATAACTAGTCTGTCTCTGGTGAGGTACAGCAGTGACTTGAGAAAATCCCTGAGCAAAGAAAGTTTGTGGGCTTTCATAATGTGCCTGAGTTTGCAGACTCCAACTCTTGGGAGAGCATCATCCCTTTCATCTCCTATGCCTTTATAAGGCATCTCAAACGTGCCTTCAGAGACATTTGCCTGCTTTCCTGATTGGGGCCACATTTCCTCTAAATTAGACCGTAGCCCTCCAGAAACACATCTGAGAGCTCCATGGGGTCTTGTGCTGGGTGGCCCAGCTCTACACCAGCACAGCGACTGAGTAATGCTTCCTAGCTGGTCTGCCTCCTTCTGGGTCCCTGAACAGGACGCTGACTAGGTAACAGGCTTTTTCTAGGGGCAGGACCGTGCGTGATTTGAGGATGAGAAGCTTAACTTCTGCTCTGAAGTAGCCGCCTATGAATGTGGGTACATTAGTGGCCAGAAACGGCTGGGAAAAGTTAAAAACATGTTTCTGTATGGCTCTAGCATGACTCTAAGAGTGTTAGTACTATTCTTGATCCTCTTTTAAACCATGCAGAGGCTCCACGTTAGTTGGGAAACCGAATTTTGGGTGCAGCATGAGCCCATGCAGCAGAGAACCAGGGGGCTGGAGCCAACAGAGGAGCTGAGGATCTTCTCTTGATCCAGTTCTGCTCACCGTACAGACAGGATTTCCCTTTGCAGAATGTTTGAATAGAGGGTATTTCCCTTCCCCGTACCTCTGGATACTGCTTGTCCCTGGGTAGCAGTTGTGAGGACAGCAGCATAGCACTTTTGACCCTTTACTGTCGGAAGTGCTTTTATTTTCTTGTTTCGGTGAAATCTCAGTTCTGGAGGAGCATGATGAGAGTGACTGGCCCAAACAGAGAGCATGGTCAGTGTCAGCACGGATAAGGGAAGGTAAACCTCGCATCAAAAGACCATGAATTAACCCTGTGATTTTAGCACTATTTCTGTGTGTTCAGATGCCACAGACCATTGTACTCGGTCACCCACAGCACCTGCAGGAACCAAGGGGCTGTGCGAGGGAGGTAGCCCCTAAAGGGGTGGAAGGAAGGCAGGAACCAGCCTAAGGCATCAGCTGCTGCTGCCTGGACATGGGAGGAGCAGGAGCCGACGGCAGCCACTGCAGGGAGGGGGTTGCCTTTGCAACACCATGGTCCAGCTGTGTCCAGCTTTGAATCGGCTTCTGCTTGTCTCTAAGAGGCCACAAAGCAGATGGGAAGAGAGGGCAGAAGGAGAAACCTTGGAAAATCGATAGATTAATGAAGCTTGATTCATATTTCTGCATCTCCCTCACTTGAGGGCAGTGACACTGTGACTTTAGCCCAACAAAGGTGCAAAGCATTTCTCACTCACTAACTTAAAACAGTGAGCACTAGAAGGTTTCTCTCTGGGGGACCAAACTAAACAGAATTCCTATTTACCCAGGCTGGTCACACATCCTGGGACCAATCAGTGTATTGAGCAAGTGCAAGCTGAAGCTAATTACAGCTCTTTCATATAACCATGTACATAAATAATCTGTCAACAGAGAGAAGTGTGCCTTCCCCTGTGGCTGCTGGAGACTCTGGAAGAGATCCTGACACTCCTGCAGAGCCAGCCTGGATTTCCATAGCAAGGCAAAAGCAGAGGGGCATGCAGCAGGAGCAGGAACTCGACAGAGAAAAACTTGTGGCTCTGGATGTTAAGTCAGGCACAGAGAAACAAAATAAAGAGAAGGAACAAACAGAGGTACTTACAGTACAAATTTGTGATGCTTTCATATCACCTTTCTGTAGTACTCTTTGGATCTACTGCTATATTACCAATCATGACATAATGATTACAGGTACTTAATGAGTATAATCATAAGTAACAAAGACACTGCTCTCAGAAATGTGTTACAGCTTCAGAATTCTCTGATTATTCAGATATGTAATTTTATATCTCCAAGAAATCCTGGAACTACGGGAAGTGTGTAAAATTCCTTGGGTGTCCGATACATACTTACCAGATCTAATATGTGTATTGCATGCTAAAACACCCCAAATGAGGTGCTAAACTGTATAGCTTCTGATCTCTCTCAATATAGAGGGGATACATCGTCTTTAACTATCCTTCTAAGCATAGCATTTCATTGAACCTCCTATACCTCCTGACTGATTTAACACTGAATGAACAGCTCGGTCTCAGAAGCTCCTAGGTAACAATTTTTAGAGCCTTGAGAAGTGAAATGGGATAAAAATAACTTTTGCACTTGCAGACAGTGCCAAGATATAAATTCTGGTTCTCTGTATACGGATAACTCGGCTGCCCATGTGGTGCCATGGAATGTGGGCTGACGCTGCCTCTTCAAAAATCCCATGCAAAAGAGGGTGATACCTGTAGCAGGTGATCTTCCCAGATGACAAAGCTGCACCAGCAGAAGCGCTTGGCATTAATCCAGAATACTAACAAGGCTTCCCTGGTACTGGGCTATCTCACGGAGGCAGCAGCCTGCAGGTGCTGCCTGTATCGCTTCCTGCACAGTCAGAACCCCGCACTGATGCAGAAGCATGTGTGTCCCATACTAGTATAGCATTCCCAGTGCAAATGGCCTACTTTCTTGTTTCAGATGGTACTGTTAGAAACCCAGATAGATGGCTGTATTATATCCTGGAATAAGAGAAGATCTCTAGATGATGAAAAATAGCAGTGGTTAGATTAACAGGAAATAATACCTAATAAAATGTCTAGGCAAGATTATGAACTGCAATAATGCTTAACGTTGTCATAGCACCTAAAACACCAAGGGTTTAAATGATCCCAAAATACAGTTTCTGTGTCAGAATAGGAAACTCCAGATTTTGGCTGGCAGTGTTCCCTAAGATTCATGCCATGCATTTTATTTCCTATATCAGCTGACAGAGGAACATGCCAAGATGCTCCTGACTGCAGCGTGTGATGCTTGGTGCCACTGTACTACTCCCACTTTCTCCTTCTCCCACATGGCACCAGGAACTGTCACTTCAGGGTAGTTTTTGATACTGGCAAGAAAATCCATTGGAAGATGTGTTTGATTTCTTTTTTTATGGAAAATCCATTTACCATAAACTGTCCAAAAATACAGTGCCCTAAGCCACTAAATCTGGGGGGTGGAAGGGAAGCATGAGAGAACAAGGCTGTTTCCAAATCCTGTATATGTTAGTAGGGGTGTGCACAGGGCTTGGAATACATTTTGCACTGAAGACTATAATAACCTACTCATAATTATGATTATGAATAAGGGGTACAGAGGGAAAGTTTTAATGTGTAAAGTTGAGTATCATGGATGCCAACGTGAAACCACTGGAGCTTTCTGAACAGGTATCAGCTCAAGTGAGACGACTGGGACCAGGGTGTGATGAGTGTGTGTGGGTTTTGGACTGTGACAGGCACCACATCCGCTCCCTTTGCTCATGGTCTTCCAAACTCTTCTCACTCTCTCTGCGTTACCTGGATTTTATCCCTCTCTGTGCCTAGGGGTCATTGAAGCAGTCGTGGAGCAAACCTTCACACTTGGCACCTAAAACCACTTCTGAAGAACAGAGGAAAGAGACAAAGTCTGAAGTGAAGGAGACCCTGCTGAGAACCAATTCACTGTCACATGTCCCAGGTAGGAAACAAAATGCTTAAAATGTTGGCTGTTATCTCACAACCTTGTCAGAAGACATCCTGCTTGAGTGTGCTGGAAAAGGATCAGGTGTTAGATCCTAATCTCTTCCCCAGCCCCACATCAGCAAAGGCAAACCGTTTTCTCAGCACTCACGTCTGGGGGTTTGGGTTTTTTTTTTTGGTGGCATATTCTTTTGACCACTTTGATTACAGAGTAGTCAAAACTCATGCTGAAAGAAATGTGAACCAAGAGCGCTAGGCCATTTCACAGGGCAGGGTCCCAAATGCACTATCCCAGTGTAAAATGTAAAATACATGCAAAATTATTTTTAACAGCATTCAATTTTTATGTGGTTTCCTCAGCAAGCTAGAATGATGTGATCACAAACTGTCTGCCCATCAGTCCTCCTACGATAACTTCGAATCTCTTTGGTAAATTAAAATTTGAAAGAAGGACAGAAGTTTTGGAGGTAATGAAATTCCTCTGAGTTGTGGGCTGAGTAAAGGAGGAGTCCACAAATGAATGCTCTTGCTAATGAAAAGACTCTCTTCTTTGACCTGGGTGTTGGTCACATGGCATGGCAATGGTCATTGTGTTGGTTTTGGTAAAAGTAGGGACCAAAAGATACTAGTGATGAGAAAAATACACACTGTATTCTTTTGAGCACAGAATAGTTATTTCCTCAATAACATATTGCAGAGAAGCTTCCATGTGAGATTTAAAGATTTTCTACCATAGGGCAGGACACGGGAAGTTTTCAGTGAAAGAGCTAGGGTGTACAGCTGCACAGCAAGCAAACGTAAAATGTCTGTGTGCTTTATTCACAGTAGCTCCGTCACCAGCCCTGGTGGATAAAGAGGAAATAAGCCACTTGAAGAAAGCCAGTAATGCTGCTCCTGATCAGCCGTCATGGATGGAACTGGCCAAAAAGAAGTCGCAGGCTTGGAGTGATATGCCACAGATTATAAAATAGAACGATGCAAACAAATAGTATCTTTCATAATTAAGTCAACTCCTTAACTGAACTTCTACAGACCAGCTAATCACAGTGAAGAATCTCTTGATGCTGAAGAAGGGTTTTATTATACAGCTGTGGAGAAAGTGTGCAATAGGTGCAGTCAAAAAGTTTACCTTCAACTTTGTAGCAATCAGGATTCCAATGGCAATGGATTACTTAAATTATGCTAAGGACATACTTACACTTTGGAAAATAAAACTTTTGCCTTATGTATTTCCTGTGTTTTCTGCTTTTAATGACGTTTGCATCAAAACAGAATCTTTGCTAAACTTTGCTGAATTTCTGTTGTTGCTGGAAACTTCTATTTGTTACGGTTTTCTCTGTTTACATTTATAAATTGTGCACTAACATCCTGATTCTGTTGATGTGTTTCACTGGAACCACCCAATGCTCTTTCTGTCAAAGCTGTTTGGCCCATGCAGGTATTCATGAATAGCTGCTAGTGAGTACCCCATTAAACTGTGTTGCTTGAGCTGCATGTTTGCCTAGCTGAGCAAAGTGGTCCAGTTTCTGGGCTTAGATTACATTTCATGAGGTGCAAATAAGCACATTTTATGTGTGACCACAAATAAAAATTCCTCAGCTCCTTCTGTGAACAACCTCAGTTGCACAATGTTTGCAAGCAGGCGAGCAGTAAGAAAACTGAACTGCAGTTGGAAGCTCATCAATGCATTCACAGTTACTTTCCTACCTGAATTTATCTGGTTGCAACTAGTTTTGTTTTATGTGAGATCATAATTCCTAATTAGGAGGATAGTATTAGTAGCAATGGACAATACGAATTTAATTAAAAAATAAGAACTAAAAAGCCTTCACCTGGAGTCCAAACTGAAATGCTGGGAAAAACTGAACTTCAATGCAGTGTCAGCTTCACGTCACCCCCTACATAATCTTAATTATTCTCATTAAAACCAGTAATTTGTAGCATGTCTGTACTTTACTGCCTTTATATAAAACTCTCACGCTCCTCATCCTGAGTCTTCCCCACCAGTTTGGGACTCATGCTCATGAAGTCTCCTAGGCTCTTCACCTTCACCTGTTTAACAAGACTGACAAGAGAAATCATTGCTGATGATTGACTGAAGTCACTCTGAATATATTTTAAGACCTCTGTGTGTGTTAAAGAAGAAAACAACAAACCCTGTTAGGGAATTTCTTTGAAACTGAATGCCCCACTGCTAAGGAAAGCGTTTCACTTTGATATGTATGTGTGAAGTACTACCTTAGCACTGTGCTCCCTAGGTTTATTTATGTTTACATTTGTGATTTTGTTTTTCTTGTTGCATTAACGTTCTTTTTGGAAAAATGTAGGGAGGTTTTAGGAAACCTATGATTTCCTAACACCTGCATTTGCAGTTTTGAAATCTTGTCTTCTCTAAGGAGGCAGGGAGGAAAACCTGAGCTCCCTCAGTAATGACAGCTGCATTTTGTAATGAATAAAGAAACAGGGCATTGGAACATATGAATACCCAAGACACTGATAACAGTTTTCAGACAGGTTGTCTTTTCATTGTTGAAAATAGGAGGAGGAAAAACAAGTTTTATATTTGTCAAAGCCTTTGGATAAAGCCAGTCAGCCCACGTGGCTGATGAAATCAGGCTGCGTGGCGGCTGAAGGCCTGATGCAGCCGTCAGATGGACGTGCTCTAGCCCATACCAATTGCTGTCAGTGGTCTCAATGCAAACGGGTTTCTGCCAGCTGTCCCAGGATCTTCTCCTTTATGCAGATCACAAAAGACAGTGTGGGCATACCCACTGAAATCAGAACTGGCCAGGCAGCCCTCTGTTAAACAGATCCACTACAAAAATAGTAACTTAATTACAGGACATGCAACCTTGGGCTCAATCACCCAAAGGTTTGATGTGTAAACAACTTTCATGTTACTCCCCATGACCAAGCATGCACAGTCCCTAAGCACAAGTGATTTATTATTGGTATTCAAATCATACTCCAAGACCTAGAGTAGAAATGGGTACATTTTTCAGATACAATAAAAAAAGTCCCTCTCTGTCCAAAACATCCTTTCTGTAATAAATAAATAATTAGCATAAAGTGTAAATTTAATTTATGCTATTACCTTTTGTAGCAATCTTGAAAAAAAAACCCTGTTTCTGTATTAAAGGAATATAATATATTAAGAAAGACTAAATTTGTATTCTCTAATTATCACCACCCCATGCAAAGAGCAGAGAATTTTCAGGAAATGTAGTTAAAGGTACCGTCTGGCTCCTTACAATTCTCCCACTGTTTAAAATGATTAAAACTGTGTTGAGTCGTGACTGAATTCCTGGCCCACGACCTGTGCAGCTGTATGGGGATGAGCACAGATCTCTTGGACTATGTCCTGTTTTCATAGACAGATGCTCAGGAATAACGGAGATGAAAGGCAGAGGTATTGTGGCAAGACCAGCAGAGTCTCCAGGAGAACAAGCCCCTTGTCCCTCTGCCTTGCAGACAGGTCAAGGAGAGAAGGTGTGGGGGTGACCAGCTCTTCGTGGAGCGCAGCCCTACTCCTCATGTGGCATTTGGGATCTGAATTTGGGAGCATGCTGAGGTGGGAAGCATGGGGCAGACATCAGCCTGCATTTGCAACAGCCAGCTCTGTGGATCCCTACGAGCCCATGAGCAACCTTCACTTGACCTCCAAGGGAATGGGACTGCAGCCCCACAGGGTGCTCAGGCCTACGTGAAACAAACTCAGGATCTTGACCAACTGTGACATAATTATGGAGGAGTTTAAGTATCTCAGGCTTCAGAGAAGTGGTAACATGTTGTGCTGCTTTTCATGCAATACGTAATTACACTGGAACTGATTGCCGTAGGAGGTTGTAGATGCCAAAGGTTTAGTTGACTTCAGAAAGCAGCCAGGCAGATCAGTGGAAGACAAAATCCAAGTGCTGCTCAGCACAAAAGCCAGGGCCTTGGCTTGGGAAATTGTGAAAGGCTTTGGGAGACTCTGTGACTGGTGGAATTGTCTTTATGTTCTACCACTGCCAGTGGCCCTGGCCTTTGTGCAAGAGAAGACACTTGGCTACCTGGACCTCTGATCTGATGACTAGAGGAATTTTATTTTCTCATGGCATTGGTCTGCACCCAGATTTCTTCATTCTAAGTCAAAGGATCATGCAAGTAGGTCTTGCTATAGCAGTCTTGTCAACAAGTAGGCAGAAAATGGTTTTAGAGCCCATGCATTCTTTGGTCAAATGTCTCATTTGTGACAATGGAAAGATGCAAATACAAATATGTTTTTCTTCTCTGTATGAACAGTAATTTATGTTTCACACTCTATACCACCAGAAAAGCCTTTCAGACCCATTCAGCTTTCCTAAGGACGTCATTGTACTTTTCCAGCTGAGAAGCGATGCGACTGTCTCAGGCTGATCCATTTTGCTCAGGCAGCTGCAATATATATTGTTGGTGTGTAACATCTAACAGGGAAATAAAATGTAAAAAGTTACCCTTTGTTCATGACTCATGCACATAAACTAACACAATTTGAATTACAGTACAGGAAGAACAAAAAAATGGACTTGAAAACCAGAAATTTTCTTTCCCAGAAGTGCTGGATGTCTTTGGCCTTCCATTTAAGGAGGAAGGTGACAGCCTGCAGCAGTTGTCCTTCCTAGTGGTGAAGGACTGCACACAGTGCAAATGAAATCATGTGTTAGGCATCTTTCAATGCAAAAACTCAACATTTGGTGACTTAACACAATTTGCTAGTTGGATTATCCTAATTAGCTACTTCCCAAAGTTTAAATTTTAAGTAAAAAAAAGTACAACTAAATGATTTTCAATGTACAGCAAAGTGTAATACATTTTGAAGGTCAAAAGCCCCCTCTGGCCTTTTTGAACTGCATTGCCTTTGACAGTGAAAACATTTACCAAATCTGTTGCATTTTTTTTTCAAGATAAAGAGGAATATAGAATCTTGTTGCCAGTGAAAGTATCCAGCAGCAGCATAGCAAGCAGCTTGCTGTCATTTTGCAATGCCATTAATTCCCTCTTAGTCTCGAGGAGCATAATAAATTTGCCAAAATGTTTGCTTTGTATACATGATAAGCACTCTGCTGTGGGTAACAAAGGTTTAATTACAGGATTTTGTGTTTGTGGTTAGAAGATAACTTTTGTACTGTATGGAGTCCAAGAGAAAAAAAAAGCCATTTGTGAACACTGGACAGTGCTGCATGTCTCATAAAACTCCAGGGGGGAGTGTAAGCCTGCATGATCCAGCACAGAGTGGCTGCACAGGATTACCTCTTGTAGGAGAAGGCATTTCAGTTCCAAGTGGGCACAGGTCTCAGGCTTGCGTACTCCCACTGTTCACCAAGATGCTCAACAAGTGACAGAAACGGTTGAGTTTTTATAGCACAGGATCTTTTATTGTCTGACTTCACAAAATAAATACTGTGTGAAGATTTTTATGGATTGTTACTCTCAGATAATTCTCTGCATCATGTTACACTTTGAAGCTGGAGGCTGATAGGACACGTTTTCATAGTTCAGATCTTCCTTTGCGGTATCTTGCAGCGCCTTTGCTGAAGATACTAATTCTCTATGTGCACTGGCTGCATTCCCAGAAGAAAACCTCTCTAGCTCACCTAAAGCAGCTTAAATGGAGGTCATTCAGGAAAATGTTGAAGTATCTCCCCCTCCAGGATCCCAAATCACTCTCTTAAGAACTGTTTAGGAATGCAACTAAGAGTGTGTAAGATTTTACTGAAGCAAAGTAATGGAGGACAGTTTTCCTTCTTTCCACCTCACATAGCTTCACACTGAGTACTTTCATTGTTGGTTTCTTTTTGCTTTGTTTATTTACTTATTTGTGGTATGTGTTGCAGGTCCATAACTACACTGAAGCCTATTCAAGGATGCTGAGCCAGATACTATGGTATCTTAACTCACTGTAGCAAGTTGTTCCCGTTTCTTCCCAAATACGGTTTGATTTCTAAAGTTTAGAATTGACATGGAATTTATTACCCTGACTTTGAAAGTCAACTCTGCCTGAGAACCACTTAATAAAAAAAGGAAAAAGAAAGAAATCTGCTCACTGTCTACTGAAAAATGGCACTTTGCACCAATGGGTCCTGTGACGATTACCATCGCATGGCTTCCACGCTGTCACTTGTCACTCGTGCTGGCAGCTTGAGGATGAGAAGGCAGTCAGGCCACCGGTGCTGCTCTTGGGCCAGACTGCAGAAAAGTATGGCCCCATCAGAGGTGGAGAGGAGGCAGAGGAATCCCGCAAGACTCTCCTATTGCCAACCACCACCTGTGCTGCCCTCCTCAACCAGCAGTTGGTATCAGACTGCGCTGAGGTGAAGCAACAGTATTTACTTGTCTCTGGGCTCTAACTCCAGCTACGGGACTGTTTGTGCGAGTGGCAGCCCAAGGATTTCAACACCGTACCAGGAAATGGAAGTTGCTGAAGAGCTGTGTTTGTCCAAAAGTCATGCTCTGGTGATCGTGTCTCCCAAAGAGATCCTATTCCTACATTATTTTTATTCCTTCTGCTGTGAATTTAACAAGACTTTCAGTAAACCCCTCCAAACCATTGCCTACATCAAAGGACCAAGGAGAACTGTCTGGAAAGAGCAGAGGAAAACAACAAGACAAGAGGAGAATTCAGTTAATAACCCTTCAGGAAAATAAAAGCCACCCTTTTCAGCAGAAATAACAGAGACTCCTTAATAAGCTGTTGGCTTGTCCTCTCTGCACCGGAGATAATTTTGATGGGCAGGCTGCCTGCAGAAAAGGCAGAAGAATAATGCCCTGAGCCTGTCCAGGCACAACAAAAACCATCTTCCCCATCTGGCTGCTCCTTTAAACAAGGGTTCATTCCTTTTAACTCCTTTGCCTCTTCCTGCAGCACTCGCCTCAAGTATGCTTGCTTTTTGCTTAATGAAGCCTTTTGTTTGGTTCCTGCCTTAATTTTGAACCACAAAAAAAAAAGACTCTTAAGTAAGAGGAGCCATGGCGCAAGTCACTCCCCGCACCCCGGCCTTGTGGCGTTGCAGTGCTCACCCGTACGCTCTTTCAAACCCCCAGGCTACATGGTGGTTCCGTGGCACAGTAACTCCAGCTCCAGCGCTCACTCCAGGACCCACCGGGAGACACGAGGGCCAACCGAGGCAACGCTGCAACCGTACACCGCATGCTACCGCAAGAACCCCGACTGGCAGGCGTCACACCAGACCACGTGTTATTTGGCCTCAGCGTAACACTGGCACAGGAGTACAAGGCAAGCGTAAATTCACATCTACTAACAGGCGTGCAACATGCACGTGAGCGTGTGTTCACCGTGGACTACATGTGCTGCATGTGCTTGTGTGTCACAATATTTTGGTGGGCACATGCTGTGTACTGCAGTGTTACAATCTCAGGGCGAAGAAAAACAATGCAAAGAAAAGAAGCTGGAGCTAGAAATAACAGAGGCAACCTTTCCTGCTCAGCAGGGAATTCCTACTGTCCCGTTTCTTTGCTGCTTCCTCCCCCTCTTGTGATTTTCTGTTTGTTTTCCTGGTGCACTGAAGCATCCCTCAGTGGGCTGCCTGTCGCCAAAGGGTGGCTGTGTGTCTTCAGCGTCTGATCCAGCCACTGAGCGTGGTCCGTCAGCGGAGAGCAGGGCACGAGCAGCCTGGGGCTGCGGGTTGCAAGGCACTTTCGATGGTGGATCATGCTGTCAGCTGCTCTCCAGAGAGACACTGAGCTTTTGAATTGCCTTTTCACGCCACAATTTCCCCAATTAATGTGAGGCTATAATTTATCTTACCTTGTGATTGTGGACAGGAGACTAGGGGAGGCAGATTTTACTGTGACCTACTTCCCTAAACAGGCTGGGAAGGAGAGTTTTGCTTTGGCTTAGGAAAAAGGCAACGGTCGTTGTCAGAGCTTATTTATGCAGGCTTGTCTTCATCCGGAGAAAGCAGAGGGTGGTAATTCAAACTTGTGCTGGTTTCCCCATTTGCTTTACCCCATTGCACAAATGGATCTTCAAATCTACTGACCAAAGCAAGCCGTACCCTCACCAGCTCCTGTGTGACACAACCCCTGGCACAGTGCTGCAAAACAGTCATG